TAAAAGGTGAGATGTCAGTATTCGAGAGGCACCGGTATGTAGAAAATTAATGTCACGATGAAAAGATTGTTGGAATTCAGGTTTATCTCAGCAAGGGAGAATAATATGAACAAGACCTCTTACATCCGTCCATGTAAATCGTAGGCTACGCCATACAAAGGTGATCAAGATAGTCATCCCATGTTACCGGCCTCATCTTTCCACGGCAGAGTCCGTGTCATGTCGAGCCATGACTCGACGCACCCACTGTATTTCGTCCCAGTGAGTGCTTCGTATGTTGATAATTTTGATCCGCCAGCCGAGATCTAGAGCGTGATCAGTGTCCAACACGCCAATGCAACGACAGAGTTTGTCTTGTTGTCCCACAAGCTCCATCGCCTGCTTGTCCAGAAGACTGCCCTGCTTCCAATCCTTGAGCTTCCCACGAGGGTGAGGGTAGTACTCAGTGAAGAGGTCTTTGAATCGAAAGTGCTGCTCTCGGGTTTGCGATGAGCGGTTGGAGCAGGTGGCCCTTGCGAAGAACTCAAAGATGGCCTGCTGGTGGTCTCGACGGCACTGGGTATTGTAGTTCATAAGTTCTCCAACCCGAAAGCATGTTCTTAACTGGAGTGATGAGGATAATCCGACAATACCAGAACGATCGAGGATCTTTCCGGGCAAGGGAGGACGGACGAATGGCGCGATATGTGACCACCCTGTTTGCACAGTTGCAGTGTCAGGTAAAAGATTTGTTTTGAGGGTCAAATCGAAGTCACTGATGTCATGATCAGGCTTGATTTCAGAGAACTGTTCGATCTTGGTGTCATCGGCAATTGTCGAGATATAGTTCCAGTCCAAGTCGTCTTCTAAGAGATCCACCTCTGAATGTAGTTCACGGGGATCAGAGCCGTAGGTTGAAACGTCGTGCGGCGGCAGCTCTAGAGCCTTGTCGAAGTCAACGTCATCCTGAGAATCACCATTCGTGATCTGAGCCGTGTTCGCAAGAGGCATCCGCATGTCATGGTTAAGTGTTCCAGGGAGAAGGTTCGCAAGCGCTTCCTCGTCCGAGCTATCAAGCATGTAATCGTCAACGTCCGACAAGCAGGTTCTCTGGGTACAGGCATCGGTTTTCCTCATCACCTGTAAGTATTGGCTCGAGCCAGAAGTTTCGCTTTCAATGATATCTGGTATTCCTTCGGACGGGACAAAAGCCAAGGTCACCAAAGAACTAACATTGATATCGTGGCTAGTGTCATGAATCGAGCACAGCGAGACGTGATCGGTCTGCGTGGGTGTTAAGTCGATGTATTTACGCATCCAATCGTCATCAAAGTGATCGGAGCCGTTATCTTCGGGAACGGGGCTCTCTGGTGTACTCCAAAGAGTCTGGATTGCGTTGTCCGTTCCAATATCGATGGTATTCGCCGTGTATAAAGGGGCTAGCGTGAGATCGGGATTGGGGAGGGTTTCGCCTTCGAAGGCCAGGCGTGAAGGTACGAAGATGGCCTCATCATAAGAGAGAGCAGGTATTTCCCAGTCCACAGGTGTCTTGGGCCCTTCAGCCGCGGAGCAGTCTGCAGAAGGCAACAAGCCGAGAGCTTGGCTAGTTGTTCTCTTGGTGATGCCAAACGCCAAAGTGTCGTCCTGGTCATCTCGAGGTCTTTTACGGGGCAAGGTTTTGTCCGCCAGTTCACCTTTCTTCGCGTCTTGGTGGGGTAAGTTGGCAGACAATGCGTTGACCATCTTGTTCTTTCTCGGGTCGATGTAGGGTATGCAGCAGCTTGGCGATGTTGGTGACTCAACGCCGCTATGCCCACGATTGGTATTCGAAGGGGGTCCTCCCGCAGAAGCATCGCTTGCTCTGAAAACAGATTAGTTTCAGGGATCGTGGAGTTTTTGAAGGTGACGAACCTGGCTACAGTGTTGATCGCCATAGTCATTCATCTATGGAAGGCAGAATATGGGCCCGATCGAATACTAGTGTGGTGCCCTGGCTGTGGCTTGCCTCACACGAGACACACACAGACAAAACTCTGGGTATACAAGGCGCCAGAGCGAGGTGGTGGCTATTTTTGTAAAGAGTGGTAGCAGCGATAGCCTGATTTAAATAATGAGAAATCCTTGACTATCATAAGACATCGGGTTCAAACAGTCAACTTGACGAAAGTGTCTGCGGCGTCAGCCCTGGCTTGGTGCCTTGTGGTGGGAAGAAGATGAATAAAAGAAGCACAATTGTGCTTCGTTAGAAGAATACATGCTTGCGTCTGATATTAGGGAAACTAGCGGCCGGCAAGAAGGGAAGCTGCCTCCGGGGCGTAGGTCTGTCGTGCCTGCCAAATTTTGACCCAGGTTCCCGTCGAGCTGCTAATGCACTCAATGAAGGCTTTAGGCTAGGAAGGGCTATGAGCTACAGAATGCTTCAAGACTCTCCTGTTGGTACCTAAACGCGTCCATGAGTTCGAAGATATCTCTAGAAACATTCCGTCGTTGTCCAACGTCACAACCGCACCGCGGACGTTGGGGAGAGAGCGTCACAGACAAAGTGCTCCCAGAGTCGGACACCACGACATTCGACAATGAGCAGTGCATGTCAGATCTTGCCTGACTACACCTAGTTCCTGGGCATTAATCATATAAGATATTGTTGGGATTCAACCACAGTACACGCTAATACATCTCCCGCGACTCCGCAGTGAACCTGCCACAAGGTGTTGTTCCATCTCCAAGACAAAGTCAGAAGTTACCAAGCCATGACGCATCTATTAGATCTTGTTGGCAGGCGGGGAGGGCAAAGCAGGCTGAGGGAGGTCCTCGCTGGGCAGCGCCACTTTCTCGCCGCGAACACGACCAATATGCGAGGCATTGTCGTCCGAAGACTCATCGATCGCCTGCCTGGCCTTGCGGCGGCGCTGAAGCCACTCGTCGACGCCGCGCAGAACAGCCAGCGACAAGCCAAAGGTGAGCACACCGATATTGATGGAGAAGCCACGGCGGTAGCGGGGCTTGTCGTCGGCGCGGAATATCTGGGCACCGTAGATGCCCGCGATGTTGGCACCCATGATGACCCTGGCCATTTGTCAGTACTTTTCCTTTCGTTCAGCTTGATGACAAGATGAGCTTACATGGCCATGGCCAGGGCACGCTCCTCAGAGTCGTGGCAGGTAAGGGACATCCAGGCAATGTTGAGCGGGTGCGAAAAGGTGCCGAACGTCTGAGTCCAGACGACGCCAAAGTAGCGGACTCCACGCATGTTCAATTCGGTAAAGATGCGGTTGAAGACATAACCGAGCAAGTGCATGCTCAGACCGACGACCACCGTCTCAGGGCGCTTGTTGCTAAAAGCTGAGTGTCAGTCATCGCATCGCAGTGTCCGGCATGGTTCGACTCACAAGCGATCCGAAACATAGCTGAACGCGAAAGAGGTTGGAATCTGCAGGAAGAGACCGACGGAAGCCAACGCGTTGCTGGTGAGAGCTGCGAAACCAAAGTCGCGAACAATCGAAGGCGAGTAGGTATCGAACGCACGCTGAGGGCCGTTGTTGGACAGAGTAATGAAGAGGTGGATCCAGAGGCGCCAGTTGCCGAACTGTGCAAGGGTTCATTAGCTATGCCCGTAGTTTCCAAAAGTGGAAATGAAACTCACGGCCTTCTTGAAAGCTGCCAGTCCAATCTTCTTCTTCTTCTTACCCTTCATGGGGTCATTGATCAAGACACGAGTCTGCAAGATGTGGAGCTCGCGATCGGTGAAGAATTTGATGCCAGGGGCGAAAGTACTCCTGGGGTTCTTGAAGGAATCGGGAAGGAAGAAACCGAAGACGAAGCCGCTGAGGATGGTGAAGCCACCCATGAGCGCGAACAGCCAGAACCAACCAGCCTTGCCGCCGACATCGCGCATGTGGAGGATGCCGTAGGCAAGCAGCTTGGATGAAGCTTGACCGAACTGGTTACCAAAGTAGAAGATCATGACACGCTTCGCCGTTTCTGTGCGCGTGTACCAAGTCGACAGGGTCCACAGACCACCAGGAATGAATCCAGACTCCGTCATGCCGAGGAGAAACCTCGTGGCAATGAAGGCCCCATACCCCTTCTGGAAGGCCTGGAACAGACTGACGGTACCGAATAGGAAGAGCTGCAGAGTGAGCCACTTGCCGGGGCCCACACGGTAGAGGATCATGTTGGAGGGGATCTCGAAGAGCACGATGCCGAGCGAGAGCATCTGCTGGCCGACGTTGAACTGATCCTGGTTGATGCCCACATCTTCCATAAAGTTGTCGGTGATGGCGTTGGCAATGTTGCCTCGATCGAGCTCTGTGGCATGTCGCGTGTCAGATGTGGTTGCCAGCGGAGAAGCATTTCACACGCAGGTACTCACGGAGACAAAAGAATCCTAGTGTCAGGATGGGCATGATAATCAGGTCCAGCCTGTCGAAGACATCAGCATGAGTTGACAACCCTGACGAAGGAGGATCTCCTCGGCAACTTACTTCCGCTTGGCCTTGCGCTCCTCTTCTTTTGTCCAGTCAACGTGAAGGTTGCGCAATTCCTCATCGCCCTGAGTGGAAGAGGGTGGGCCCTCGAGCGCCTTGGGCGTCTTGCTGTCGTATTCCGACATGATGGGTGTGGTTGATAGCAAATGCACACCGGCTAGAACGGCAACTTTGTCTTGATAAAACAAGAGATGGGTCGAGGATATTCTCCTTATAAGTTATAAACCAAGTATGCCCAGCCTTTGCAGAGTGCCCTTATCTTCCCGCCTGTCACTCCCGAATATGTCCGTTTACCGGCCGCCCGCTCTGTTCGGTTCTCCCTGCTCTTTTCTGCGCAGATTTTCTTGCCACGGCAGAGCCTTCGATTCTGGAGCGTCTGGGCAAAATGGCATCAGGAAGCGGGCTGATCACGCAATCAAGCAGTGCCGGCGTTGATAGGACTCCCAGTGTCTTGGCGGTCTCTCCCACTCCAGTTGCGCACTCACAGCGAAGCGGGCACGCCGTGCGCTCCCCCCGGGCTGGAAGCTGTCCCGTGTCACGCAATTCCGCCACGAGCTGCCGAACGTGGGTGTTTTTCACCAAAAGGTCATGGCCCTTCGCTTTTGGGATGATTTCTCTGTCATTTGTCGTAGTTGCAAGGGCTCGATTGTCAAAGTCTTGGTATCCTTGGGACAGGCAGTCAATAGGATGCCAAGGAGCGTGGTGGTGGCGGAGCACTTAGTTCGACCCTCAGGGGACTGAGGGTCACTGAGCCTCCAGCCAATCACCTTCAGCTTCGTACGAGGTTGGTTTTCGGCTGCCCAGAAAAGGGCTTCCATATACACTGAGTACCCTTCAGCGCTGAAAGCTTGTTGTTGAGGGACAGACCAGAGCTGAGCTGTACAGTGACATGAAAGGCCACGCATCTCCTTGCAGTGAATAGAAACCCGTGAGACTCAAGCAGGCACACGCTAGAGTCAAAGTCTATAATGTCGCTCCTATGCCCGCCGTTGGCGAAAACCGGTCTATTGGTACAAGATCCGCAAGGGATCTGATCATTGGCGCGGGCGAAGGGGAAGCCGTCGTAATGTTGGTGACCACGGCTGCCGATCTATTCTGTCGACAAGATTGCCCGAGTGCCCCGAATGGCGAGATCGCCTGAAACCTTAAGTGGAATTGGCTCAGGGAACTAGCCGAAAGTAGGCGCCAGGTGCGGCAGTTTGTCCAGTGTCCTTCCTGGTCAATCCTCTTCTCAGTCCCACCCCCACGGGATGCTGCGCCAGAGGCCAACATGAGGCCTAGGATAATGACCCGGCTTCGGCTCTCGATGCTCGCTTGATCAAATAACGAGCTGCATCGAATATCTGACAGAGTCGAATGAGGCAAGTGACCCCGTTGTCGGCCGGGTCGAAGCAGGCCGAGAAGGCTCTGGCCTCCCAAGATCAACACAAGAGGCGCGGGAGAAGCAATATGGTGGCCGCCTTGTCGTGGGGTATGCATGGCTCTAGCACCAAGTACGCGTCCTCTCGTAAGACCAGGCAGAGAGGTTGGGCTGAAAGCTGATGAGGCTGAGAAACACACGTTGAGGAGCAAAGAGGAATGGCTTTGGAGATGGAAGAAGCTGGGCGAGGTCTGACAAATGCCAAGAGTATTTCTCAAAAGAACGCCTTGCAAAACAGCTTACACATGCCACGCGTGGATGACGAGCTGCGGGCGCCGCCATCTCAGGGTTTGAGTTTTGGAACGGCCCGGATCGATCTGGCTGAGAACCATCTGAGTGGTAGCCCGTCAATTACTTACGACTTGTGGCGCACATTCACATGTGACTCCGGTACCTTACTATGAAGGGGACAGCGGGGCGATAATGAGGGAACATCACGTCCTCTCACCGAGGTGAGAGAGACTGTTTATCGGGCTGTCGGTGAGGCTACTGCCAACATGCACTCTCTAGTGTGATTGGACGGCCGCGCTGGGTCTCCTCAAGATGTGGCGCAAAAGGGGTCCATCTGGGATTTGGGGCAATGATTCGGATGATCATATGCAATGTTGGTATGTTCTGTAACAATTCGAACGTTTGCCCATCGTGGAAACTATGTTACATTTTGAACCATGCCATAATACTTCGTAGCAACTTTTTCATCCTTTCACGATGCACAAATGTCGATTTCGAGGCCTCCAAAGCCCCATAATCCAAGCCACACAGAACAGCCACTGCACTACGTCACATGGCGGGGCTCAACACCGCACTTCAAAGTGACCAAGAGCAATGGCTGAGCTCCAACCCAATTACCCCACCACGGGACCTCTCATGCCAGCCTGTCACAAGACATTCAACGTCTCAAGCTTCATGAGCACGACGAGAACGCCCCTTGATGCATGTTTCGGTAATTTTGTGCTCTAGATATCTGCCTCTATCGCACTCCAGTTTGCCTGAGGTAGCTATCTCAGCTTGTGATTCAGAGCTTCCCTCACATCTCACCAGCTACCCCGCGTTCGCGACATTCCGCTTAGCGCCGGTCAGGCTATCACTCGACACACTCATATCAACCCAACATACAACACCTGGTTGATGGTAGCAACACAACATTGCAATGTCCATGTTTGCCCAGGTCAGTCACATCTGGGCCGATCCTACTGGCTAGCCCTGGCATCGCGGCTCGTGGCGCATGGCGTGAGCCTCGCCTTGTCGCGACATCATATGTTCAGCCATAGCGCTCAGTATCGTCATCACTGATGGCAACGAAGGGCCCCCAAAAGCAGAGCTGACATACATGTAGAAGAAGCCGTACTCGGCCGTCACCGCGTACATCGAGCGTCTCACCAGTGAGTCTTACGAGGAAGATGATCTCAGTGGTATTATCGACCTCGTCGAGGTCATCAAGTTGCAGTCGACCGGTCCCACGGAAGCCGCGCGCGCGATTCGCAAGAAGCTCAAGTATGGCAACGCCCATCGCCAACTCCGCGCCCTCGCCATTCTCGATGGCCTTATCCTGAACGCGGGCCCCCGATTCCAGCGCACCTTTGCCGATGAGCCCCTGCTCGAGCGTCTCCGCGTCTGTGGCACTTCAGATCTGTCTGATCCAGACGTCAAGAAGAAGTGCAGGGTTCTGTTTGCTGGATGGGCTGACTACAAGGGGACGCCGGGACTTGAGCGCATCGCCAAGCTTCATACGGTATGTCTAAACAATCGCGGCGCAGGCAAAACAACCACGTTCTTACACATTCAGGATCTTCCCAAGCGCAAACAAGCCATGACACAGGAGCGATCCAAGGCTGTCCGTGAGACGGAGAATCCCTTTGGTGAAGAGGATGAGGACGAAGGTCGCCAGACATCGCCGTCAGGCCGCGCCGGCGAATCGTCTAAAGCACCGTACGGGAAACCGGCCAGCACCGTCAACTCCTTCAGCCATACGAAGTCATCCTCTGCGTCTGGAAGCACGTCCTTCTTCGGATCCTCCAAAGACAAGAACAAGACCAAGGATAAGAAGGGCAAGAAGAAGCCCTTTGTTCTCGAGGCTGAGAAGGAGAACATGAAGAGCGATATTGCTGAGGCCTCCATCTCCACCACCAACCTTAACAACGCCCTGCAGACCATCAACCGAGAAAAGGAGCGCATCTCTGACAATGCGCTCGCCGTTCAGCGATTCGAGGAGTGCAAGAAGCTCAGGAGGAAGATCCTCCGCTATGTGAGCGTCCAAGTCTCTTCAGACTGGCCAGCAATACTGACAATCGCCCCCTCTAGATCCACCATGTTGAATCTGAACAGTGGCTCGGCAGCCTCCTCCACGCAAACGACGACCTCGTGCTTGCGCTCATGACTTTCGAGCAGCTCGATCGCTCTATCGACGCGGACTCTGACTCGGATGACGAACTCGCGGAACAGGCCCACATGTACAGAAGTATGTCATCACGTCTAACCCCCGTAGACACTCATGTCCCTCTGTTCCTCTTTATCAAAACTCCATGGATCTAACTTTCCAACTGCAGTGGCTACCGAAAAGGGCAAGAGCGCAACCCCGGATGCGCCCGATATGGCGGGCCTCAACCTCGGGGCCAGCCCTCCCCGTCCCTTGGCTCCGTCACGCCCCGGCGCCAGGTCCAAGCCCGCGTCTGTGTCGCCAGCCAATGCTTCAGGGCCGACGAAGCCGCCCCGCCCGCCGGTCCAGCAGGTCGATGACGACGACGACGACGAAGACGATGACGACCCCTTCGCGGACAAGAATGCCGTCGCCACACCCGCTCTCGAGAGGGGACAGCCGTCGTGGTCGTAGGCTGCAAGGCACACCAAAGGAACGATGAACCTGGACAATAGGGACCAGAGCTGGAGCAAATGGCAGCATAAGATGCGTGGGGGAAACGGGGAGGGGGGAAATGCGCACTTATCACCAAGATTTGTTGTTTTTCGTTTGTTTCTTCTTCGTCGATGGCAGAGCGAGATTCGTCAGATGTCGGTTTGATTTGAGTTCCACCACGCCAGGCAGGGGCAAGCGAGCGAAGATGATGGGTGCGGCGATTGTGTACAGGGCGTAGGTACTCCAACAATCACAGGCGGTTCTGCCAACATACCACAAGAGTGGACATCAGGGGTGCGGTGGAGACTATCGCAGCACGACGTATGCTCGACTGGATGACCACATTATGTTTATCCCCGCCACTGGCAACAGACATTCAATGCAGTGAAGTACTAGGTATGGTGGGATTTCAGGCACATGTTTCCAGAAGTCGTGTCACTACATGTCACCATGGTCTGTTTTCAACGGCTCAGATTTCACTAATGTCATGTTCCCGTAATCTACATGCCCGGCGGAGGGCGCGTCGTCCTCTCCGCCAATGCTGCCTGCGCCGATTAACCTGCCCAACACCAGGGGTTTTAAATCAGAAAAACACGGCGGGCGGCGTTTGCGCGCGCGGTGAGAAGCTCCTCCCAGCGTCATGCATGATTCTCGTTCTCTTTTGTGCTTTGAACTGTTATCAACAACAACAAACTCCCAGAAGCTAGCTAGTAGGAATTTAAAGCTCATCGTGGGATGCGGGCTCATCAGCCTCGCCACCGGCGCCACCAGCACCCTGGTACATCTTGGAGGTGATGGGGTAGGCGACGTTGGACAGCTTCTCCTTCTGCTCCTCGAAGTCCTCGGCGGTGGCCTCGGCGCCGTTCTCCTCGAGCCAGTCGGTGGTCTCCTTGACAGCCTCAAGAATCTGATAAAACAGTCAGTCGTGTACTCATGAGTCCAAACACACTGGGGAATACTCACAGCCTCCTTCTCCTCGTCGTCGATCTTGCCACCGAGACCCTCGTCATCGTTGACCTGGTTCTTCAGGGAGAAGGCGTAGTTCTCAAGACCGTTGCGAGCCTCAATGCGCTCGCGGGTGGCCTTGTCCTCCTCAGCGTACTTCTCAGCCTCGGCAACCATGCGGTCAATCTCCTCCTGAGTGAGACGGCCCTTATCGTTGGTGATGGTGATGCTCTCGCCCTTGCCGGTGGCCTTGTCGTGGGCGGAGACCTTGAGGATACCGTTGGCGTCGAGCTCGAAGGAGACCTCAATCTGGGGAACACCACGGGGAGCGGGAGGGATGCTGGTGAGCTCGAACTTGCCGAGGATGTTGTTGTCCTTGGTCATGGAGCGCTCACCCTCAAAGACCTGGATGAGAACCACGGGCTGATTGTCGGCAGCCGTGGAGAAGATCTGGGACTTGCGGGTGGGGATGGGAGTGTTACGGTTGATGAGCTTGGTCATGACACCGCCAGTGGTCTCAATACCGAGAGTAAGGGGGTTGACGTCCATGAGAACGATGTCCTCAGTACCCTCCTCGCCGGAAAGAACACCAGCCTGAACGGCGGCGCCGAAGGCGACAGCCTCGTCGGGGTTGATACCCTTGGAAGCCTTCTTGCCGTTGAAGTACTCCTCAATGAGGGAGACAACCTTGGGGATACGAGTGGAGCCACCGACGAGAACGATGTCGTCAACCTCGCTCTTCTCGACCTTGGCGTCCTTGAGCACCTGCTCGACGGGCTTGAGGGTCTTCTTGAAGAGGTCGTTGTTGAGCTCCTCGAACTTGGCGCGGGTCAGAGTCTCGGAGAAATCGTTGCCGTTGTGGAAGGCCTCGATCTCAACACGGGTGGACATCTGAGAAGAGAGGGTACGCTTGGCCTTCTCGGCCTCACGCTTGAGCTTGCCCATGGCCTTGGCGTCCTTGGTGATGTCGACGTCGTTCTTCTTGTTGTAGAGCTTGGCGAAGTGGTTGATGACACGCTGGTCGAAGTCCTCACCACCAAGGTGGGTGTCACCGGCGGTGGCAAGCACCTCGAAGACGCCCTGGTCAATGGACAGGAGAGAGACATCGAATGTACCACCACCAAGATCGTAGACAATGATCTGGCGCTCGCCATCGAGCTTGTCAAGACCGTAGGCGATGGCGGCGGCGGTGGGCTCGTTGACAATACGGAGGACGTTAAGACCGGCAATGACACCAGCATCCTTGGTGGCCTGGCGCTGGTTGTCGTTGAAGTAGGCGGGGACGGTGACAACGGCGTGGGTGACCTTCTTGCCGAGGTAGGCCTCAGCGGTGTCCTTCATCTTGCCGAGAATCATGGCGGAGATCTCCTCGGGCGTGAAGTTCTTGTCCTCGCCGTTGACGGAGACCTGGATGGAAGGCTTCTCGTTCTTGGCAACAACCTTGTAGGGGAAGTGCTTGAGATCGGCCTGGACGTTCTTGTCGCTGAACTTGGATCCAATCATACGCCTAGAGACTTGGTCAGCACGACATGTCATTGTGAGCAAACAGAATCGATTGGCTAGTAGCTTACTTGACATCAAAGATCGTGTTGTAAGGGTTAGCGGCGGCCTGGTTCTTGGCGGCGTCACCGACGAGACGCTCGCCATCCTCGGTGAAAGCGACGTAAGAGGGAGTGATACGGTTTCCTGTTGGCGAGCGGGTCAGCAAGCGTGTCGGGATTTCGTGAGAGGCCAGGTGTCCGTACCTTGGTCGTTGACGAAGATCTCGACCTTGCCCTTCTGGAGGGCAGCGACGCAAGAGTAGGTGGTTCCAAGATCGATACCAATGACGGTACCGTAGTTCTCAGGCTCCTCAGCGTGCACAGTCTGGACAAGGGCCAGAGGCGCGAAGAGAAGACAGATCCAGGCCAACAGGCCGAAGCCCATGGCCATCGAGTTGCGAGACCTCGACATGTTTGTGTGAAATGGTTCGGATCGCGCTCTTATCCAGGGTATCGCGCAGCAAAGGGAAATATAAGGAAGGAAGAAGTGTCAGGCACGCAGCGAAGGGGATTCTACCTCCAGCCGGTTATGATGCCGTGGGTTAATGGGAGGGAAGGGGAGTTGGGTTGAAGAATCGGAGAGGTAAAGGGCAGAGGGAAGAATGGAAACCTTTATGAAGTGAGCTTCCCCAAAAGAAGGCGTCGGAAAGTCAAGCTGTCCATTGCACAAAAAGGCCAGATTTCAGCAAGAGCGCCACAGTTGGCAGGGGTTCAAGTGGTTATCGCTGTTTTGACCGCTTATCGTGCACGTGTCCATGCACTGTGAGCACATCATTCACCGCCCTGGATCTGCACCTGAATAACGAGAGTCTACAGTGCGAATTACATGATCAGCCACGCACGAGCCACCGGCGGATTGACAAGAACCTTAGCGCCTCCACCCTTGGCGCTATGGGCAAACTTCGTGGGGACACGATGCAGGATCCAGGGCATGAAGTATTCCAGACATTTCGATGAGCTCAGCGGTCAAGGAATCAGGCGTTCCATACTATTCCATCGTCCGAGTTGGCCACCACAGTGACTCACGAGGCTGTCACGTCTCTGACCTGCTGGCGATGCCTTCCTCCGCCTGGCATACATCTTTGCCTTTACCGCTGCCAAATGACATCGTGGCCTTTCTTGCCCCCCTCCCCCCCCCCCTGCCCCTAGACCCTGGTGATGCGGGGCTCTGGCACTTGAGCTCTGGCTCAATCTGGCTGCGGGGTGTAGGAACGGATGGCTGTCTCCGAAAGCGACGTGATTTCTCATCAACGACGACTCGCCTTATGCGTAGAGAAAGCCTCCGTGGCCAGAAGCTCGAACTGCGTTGCAACAAGCGTGACGCAGAATATCGGGTTAAAGACACGTTGACGCTTCAGACTGCTCACTTGTCGAGCGGGAGGCTGCCCCTCAGCTGGCCGGCTCAGGAACCAACACGGGAGTTGACTGCATGTTCCCTCAATTCCTCATTTGGGATGGTTTCTATTGGTTGAAACGCGACTAAAAATGCAGTGCCCATCATGCCCTCATGCGGCACCCCCAACCTCCAGCAATACCCCCGAAACATGCCAGCCTCCCATTCGCTTCCTTTGGATGCATCATGACTTCGTTTCCTGCGTGTTTTTGGCAATCCTCAACAGCTACTCTAGAAGACCTGCTGCCACGGTTTCGCCGCCCATTCGCAACACGACTCTTTGCCCAGCCTCCAGAGGCACCTTTGACTCCAGCTTGACCACGACGCGTGCAACCTTGGCAGGCGCCACAACCTTGGGGTTCTTCTTCTCCGTTGCGCCCGTAGTCTTGTTGAGCACTGCCGGGATCGACTGAATTCTGCCGGCGGCATGTAGTCGACCTCGATGGACGTCGACAGGCATGGGCATCAAGTGCTCAAAGGCGAGCACTTTCATGGTCAACAAGTCGCTGGTCTCGATTGGTTCCGCCTTACTGCTGATGATGTCGCCTACCCGAATATGGATGGGATCGATGCCGTAGACACCCAAGGACACGTTCTGTCCAGCTACCGCCCAATCCTGAATCTCGGTATCGACCTCGATGGAACGAATGCTGGCCTGTTCTCCACTAGGCTGCACCACGATGCTCTCGCCCGTCTGCACAGTTCCAGATTCCATGCGACCCGATATTGTCAACTGGCTCTGTTGAGATTTGAAAATCTCCGAGATGGACATTCTGAATGGCTTTTCTAGAGCCCGGGCCAATGGTTCGGAATCCTCCAGGGCCTGAATTAGTGTTTCGCCCTTGTACCAAGACAACGCGGGGTCCTCGGATCTGACCGCCAAGTTGTCGCCGTTGAGTCCAGAAATGGGAACGAAAGTGACGTTCTTCAGCTGGAAGCCGTTGCCCTTCATGAAACCGGTGACTTGCTCAGAAATCTCGTTGAATCGCTCCTCAGACCACCCAACCATGTCCAGCTTGTTGACGGCGACAATGACACGTTGGACGCCGAGACTCCTCAATAGTAAAGCGTGCTCCCTCGTCTGACCCTTCAAGCCTTTCTCGAAAGCTCCAGTATTGGCATCGATGACGAGGACGGCAAAGTCAGCTTGACTGGCTCCGGCAATCATGTTAGGAACGAAATCCCTGTGACCCGGGGCGTCAAGGATCGTGAACTGGGTTTTGTCGGTCTCGAACTGGTTGGTGGCAATGTCGATGGTCACACCACGTTCGCGTTCCTCCTCTCGCTGATCCATGACCCAGGCGAGCGCAAATGATGACTTGCCCAGTTTCTCTGCTTGGCGTCTATATCTGTCGATCAAGTGCTGTTCAACAAACTTGAGCTCCAGCAAAAGCCGCCCCATGAGCGTACTCTTGCCTGCATCGACATGGCCTGGAGTTGTCAGCAAAGCTCAGTAGAGTCGTAGTAGCTTTCACGCACCAACTACAACAAAGCTTGCGCTGCGTTTGCTCTTGCTGTTCTCGAACTCTTGAAGCACATTGATCTTCTTGCTCTTCGGGGGTGGAGCATCGTCCAGTGAGAGATCCTTGGCAGCTTCTGTTGGCGGCCCTCCGTTGGACTTGGGAGCTTTCTTGGCGGCGGTAGCGCTCTTTGCAGCAGCAGCGTCAAACCGGTTGCCCGCTACGGAGGAAATCAGAGTCAGCGCCTCATTGATTCTTCGCGAATCGCGAACCTTTGGCCTGCGCCGCGAGCCCTATGTCATCGGGGCTGGGCTGGTCAAACGCTGCAGAGTTGAACAAGGGGGATGACTTGTAGGGGAGGTTGAAAGTATCAGTTGAGAGGTCGGCAGAACCAGCAGACAAGCCACAGAGTACGTGAGCAAAGGCGGACGGCCGGGACGTTGACGTGACTGCTTGTTCCTCTGCTGGAGCAGGGTCTGATGACTGTCCATTATGGGCTTCGTCCGCTTCCATGGTGGTGGGTGGGGACGGCCCTGATGGAATTGGAAGGGGGCTTCGCTGCGGGCAATGCCTTGCCGTCCGAGTTGGCGCTCACGAGCTTCTGGCGTTTCGCTAGAATACTTGAGCCGGGCTTGACGTTCTCTTCATAGGTTTGCTCGTTGATGTTGAGCTCGGCTAGCCGTTTCTGTGTCCGTTCCTCCGACTCCTCGGGCTTCTTCACGGCCTCGCTCTTCTTCTTACGGGCCGCGGCAAGCGCTTGGAGTTTGGAGACCTTCGGCCCTTCGCCACCACCCAGAAGCCTGCCCACGGGCAAGACGGGAGGAACCATGATGGCTTGCCGGTGTTTTGGCACATTCATCCAGGGCATGTCTTCGAAATACCAGGACGGAGGCGGCCACGGGGTGGTTGAAGGAATTCCATAGGAGGAGGCCATGCCGAAGTTGCCAATGTCACTTTGCATCTGCTGTCTTGTCCTGCCGGCTACCGAACGCTCAACTTCTGCACTTCCTGGTCCCTGTTTCCAACTTGACGCGAGAAATGAAATGAGCGACTTACCCTCCTTCGGCTTCTTGGGTTCAGACTTGGGAGTTGGTGGCGTGATGTATTTCTTTAAGAGGTAGTCGACCGTCTTCTCAATGTCATAATAGTAGTACCACAGGGCGTCGTGTATTTGCTGGGTCGTTAGAGATCCAGCGGCGCTTCCCAGAGTCTCACGGACCTGCTCAGCCCCTTTGGCTAACGCATCGCGATCCTCAGGGGTAAGCTGATCCGCACCGAGCTCACCATCATCAGCATCGTACTCATCGAGAACTTCTTCATAGTCCAAGTTACGGACGGCTTGATGGCGTGACATCTGGAAAAAGACGTCTCAGTGTCAAAGAACGAATGGGGAAGAGGGGCTCGAGCTGCAATGCAAGAAGCCGTGGAGGGCTATCGAGTGACGTCGAAGTGGCTCCGAACGAAAGCTTGGCTGTGGCTCGAGCTGAAGCACTGGCAGATGTATGGAGGAATGGAGTGAGGATGTTCGGACAACAGCGCAATTCGAATCCTGCGAAGGGTAGAAGGTGATGATGACTAGTCGCGCTTGTGCTCGTAAGGGTGAGGATGGTGTATGTAGCCCGACTTTTGATCTGGTCGTCATTGGCGGGGCAGCAGTGCTCGTGGCGGGGTATCAACACAAGAACAGGGCAGTTTGGAGCCCAAAGCCCGCCCTCGTAAGGGCCAGGCTAGGCAGGCGGTGAGAGGCTTCTGACCATCACCATGTACACCAACGCGAGAGCATCATAGAAGTTGTATCTGCGGACAACACGGTCAAACACAAGACTGGCAAAGAGCCATGACACCAGCGAGTCTATACAGCAACAAAACCGCATCCACGATCAATTTTGTAGATGCAAGCGACAAAAGCATTCAGTCAGCTCTGTTCAGAGAGGTACCTTTACCTTGCATTCACTATGCGGGGCACCCGGCACGGCCCACCACCTGCACGTGACGTGGGAGTTGGGGGAGCCTGGAAGCAGACAGCAGCGCTCCGAAATTCAGAAATTTTGGCCTGGGCGACGTGCAAGCTGGAGCTCACTAATCTCGACTTCAGTCCACGATACCCGCTACCTCCTACAACGTCGCCCGATACCCCTCAACAAACCCTGGTAGAGCTTCTGTAATCGAAAAAGGCTCCCAACATGGCGATGAGTGAGTAGTTGCTATCCTCTGCTGTTCCAGTCATTTGCTAAGTTACGTTCTAGACCTGGATATGAGCAATGGTATGCGCTGCCTGATTGTCGACCCCTGAGCCCCTACACCGACCCCTCCCCCACGAACCAACAACTGACCGGTTTGCACAGCGGCGGTAATGAAGGATGAGCAGGGCCGCCCCTTCATCGTTGTCCGAGAGTATGTCCGGCACATGCCATCCCCTGCCTTTCAGTAGCGGCTCCCCCCTTCCGTCCCCCTCCCGCTGACCCCTCTCGAACAGTCAGGGCAAGAAGAAGCGTCAGTACGGCAACGAGGCCGTCAAGAACCACATCCTCGCCGCTCGGACGGTCGCCGACATCGTCAAGAGCTCCCTCGGCCCCCGCGGCCTCGACAAGATCCTCATCTCCCCTGACGGCGACATTACAGTCACGAACGATGGTGCGACGATCCTGCAACAGATGGAAATCTCCAACCACGTCGCCAAGCTTTTGGTCGAGCTTTCCAAGTCACAAGACGACGAGATTGGTGACGGAACGACCGGCGTCGTCGTCTTGGCCGGTGCCCTGCTCGAGCAGGCTGCCGAGTTGATCGACAAGGGCATCCACCCTATCCGCATTGCCGACGGCTACGACCAGGCCTGCGACATTGCCGTCGCCGAGCTCGACAACATTTCCGACACGATCGAGTTCAGCAAGGAGGACACAGAGAACCTGGTCAAGGTGGCGCGCACAAGTCTGGGCAGCAAGATTGTGTCCAAGTCGCACGACCAGTTTGCCAACATTGCCGTCGACGCCGTGCTGTCCGTTGCGGATCTCGAGCGCAAGGACGTCGACTTTGAGCTGATCAAGGTCGACGGCAAGGTCGGCGGCGCGCTCGAGGATTCTGTCCTCGTCAAGGGCGTCATCATCGACAAGGATTTCTCCCACCCCCAGATGCCTTCCGAGGTCAAGGACGCCAAGATCGCCATCCTGACCTGCGCCTTTGAGCCGCCCAAGCCCAAGACCAAGCACAAGCTCGACATTACGTCCGTCGAGGAGTTCAAGAAGCTGCAAAACTACGAGCGCGAGAAGTTCATCGAGATGATCCAGCAGATCAAGGACACAGGCGCCAACCTGGCCATCTGTCAGTGGGGCTTTGACGACGAGGCGAACCACCTCCTGCTCCAGAACAAGCTGCCCGCCGTGCGGTGGGTCGGCGGACCCGAGATTGAGCTGGTGGCGATTGCGACGAACGGCCGGATAGTGCCTCGGTTCGAGGACCTGAAGGCGGAGAAGCTGGGACGTGCCGGCATTGTCAGAGAAATGTCGTTCGGCACGACGAGGGAAAAGATGCTCGTCATTGAGGAGTGCGCCAACACACGAGCGGTGACGGTCTTTGTCAGGGGCAGCAACAAGATGGTACGTTGGGGACGCGGAGCAGAGAACAGGACAGGCAGGCAGAGGCTAACGGCAACAGATCATCGACGAGGCCAAGCGGTCACTACACGACGCCCTCTGCGTCGTCCGCAACCTGGTGCGCGACAACCGCGTCGTCTACGGCGGTGGCGCGGCCGAGATTGCCTGCTCATTGGCGGTCGAGGACGCGGCGGTCAAGACGCCCGGTCTGGAGCAGTACGCCATGCGCGCCTTCTCTGAGGCCCTTGACGCCGTGCCGATGGCGCTGGCGCAGAACTCTGGTCTCAACCCCATCTCGACGCTGGCCGAGATCAAGAGCCAGCAGGCCAAGGCCGGCCCCAGCGACCGCGGCAAGCTCGGGGTTGACTGCATGGGTCGCGGCAACAACAACATGAAGGACGCCTTCGTCATCGACCCCCTGATCGGCAAGAAGCAGCAGCTCCAGCTGGCGACACAGCTGTGCCGCATGGTGCTCAAGGTCAACAACGTCATTGTGTCTGGGTCTGGCGAGGAGGACTTCTAAATCAAAAAAGGCGGCTGGTTTGTTTCGAGCGGACGGGGTGCACGGGATTATACCAACCTTTGTATTATGCCGATAGAAGCTCGGTCTGAGGCCGGGATAGACTCCTGCACATCAATGCACATGACAACATGACTTGATGAAGTTGAACGAACGTTGTATGGATTGAGGTTCGGTCCGTGTGCCATTACGGGAAGTCCCTTAGGATCCGAGCTTGCGAGTGTGATGCAGAGACATAATGCGAGGAACACGTGAAACAAATCTTGATGTTATCTAGGGCGTCTAATGTATCTTCGTCTATCCCAGAGCGTAAACCCCTTCTCGTCTGACTTCGACGTTATCTCGAGCGCAGTATCGTCCCATCATTCAACTCATCATACCAAAAGCACGAAAGACCTAGTATTGGTGCTTCAGGAGGGGCCCGAATTCGCGGTAAAATGTCTGCTTCAGCTCCTCGAGCTGCTCACCCGTGGGCCTGGCCTCCTTGCTCCTCCTGGTCCAGCTCTCGTCCGTCTCGCGGAGCAGCGCAGCAGGGTCCTCGCCCGCGGGGTCCACAAACTGGTACGAGCGGAACTCGCAGTTTTCCCACGCCGTAGCTGCGAAAGGGGTCAGCGATGATTCTCGAGTTGAAACGCAAGTGGAAAAGAAAAGTCCGGGAAGAGAGCCACAGAAAGATAGAGGGAGGATGAACGAAAAAAAACAGAAAAAAAACACACCAACGCCAGAACAGAGACAAGCAAAACATACCTCTCGGCAACTCAACGCCGTGGAAGTCCGTGGTCAGGAAATGCAGGAACGCCCCGTGCGACAACGGCAGCAATGTGAACGTCCTCCTTGCCGCTCGCGCGCGCCAGGTCCCGCAGGAAGAGGGGCGCCTTGGTCGCGCGCGCCTCGAGCTTGTCGAGGGTGGGCTCCCACGGCGAGGAGGCGCTCTCCTTGTCGTTCCAGCCGGCGGGGACGCGCGAGAAGTCGGCCCTGGCGCCAAACTCGGGCGCGACGACGGCGACGTCGGTGCCTGTGTCGCAGGGCGAGTTGCTGACCTCCTGCAGCTCGGGGATGGCGATGACCGGGAGCAGGGCCGCCGGCTGGGGGTCCTCGGGGGTGGGGCCGAAGCAGTTGAGGCAGGTGTGGAGGGTGCGGCGCATGGGCGAGGCGACGAGGTGGGTGAGGGAGGCGTGGGCAGGAAAGGTCGCGCGGACGTTGGCGCACTGCTTGAGGCCGAGGTCTGTGAGGAGGGGGTCTGGCAGGGCTTCGTTCTCGACAGAGAGGTTGTGGAAGCCCTGGGCGTGACGGACGAGGTGGATCGTGACAGGCATGTCGAATGTGCTTGGCGAGTGAGGCGAGTGGTGACAGCAGTGAGGATAAGTGTGTGAAGAGATTTAGTGGCCAGGCTGACAGGTGTTCGTCGAAGAAAATCTGTGAGTACGTGTGACGACGAAAATCTGGGAGATCTGCACCTCCTGTCCAAGACAAATAAATGCAGGCCAACGAAGTAACGGTGACGATGACTACAACGACGTCAGGTACTGCCTCGAAGCAGCTCCAAGCCGCTCCACAAGGTTCCAAGGTCCTGCCAGCGCCCCTTTCCTCCTCCAGTGGATGACTCAAATCACGTCCGGACCGGAGCTCCACTTGGCTCGTACTCTGGGTCCGAAAAGGCCGACTTGCCGGTGATCGGTATCCTCTCGCTCGGTGTCGCAGCAGCACTTGCCGTCCGCGCCCTCTGGCTGCCGTGGGGGCGCCGCCAGTCAGGGTGCGTGGCGGCTTTGCTGTCCGTCATTGGCCCACGCCCAGACTGCCTGCCTTGGATTGCACTTGCACATCTTGATCGTGAAGAAGAAGACCTCAAAGATGCCAAGGTGTCTCGATCTCGACGAGCTGTTGCCATGTGCTGTTGCCTTTGGATATTGCAATGAATGACAACTGGGTTTCGCAAGCCAGCAAAAACAACCCTTAGGAGAAACACGCCCATCCAAACCTCCCATCCCAAAGCAGCGTACCACTAACAGCCACCATGTCTCTAGAAGTTCCTCCAGAAATTCACTTCCTCTTCAAGTTGCTCCGGACCGAAATCTTTCTCGTCCCCCGTCAACAGTGCCAACTCGCATTCATCCTCCAACCTCCTCTCCTTTCCTGCTGCCTCTGCCGGTTTGGCCCCTTTCTCTCGCTCGTCATGGGTACCCATGTCCGCCTCGGTAAGGCTCGCAAGCGTAGGCTGGGGGTCTCCCTGAAAGCCACAATCAAAGTTGTCGTATGCCATCTCCAGATAAAACTGGGCAGCGCCTGTTTGGGCCATGGTACTCCAGCCCGCGAGGCCATTCCGTGCCGATTCAACGCGGACCCTTTTTGCAGCCCGCGCCGCGCCGTCGTAACGACCATCAGTGTTGTCACGGTACCGATCCAAATTCTTGCGCTTGAAGCACACAAAGCCGTTGGCCCAAGGCATAGGACATTCGTCGTGAGATTCGAGAATAACAGGGCCAGCCCGTGCCGACGCAAATCCAGCAGCAATGACGTGCGCATGTCGACGGCACTCGAATATATGCTGAACGGAAGGAGCCTTCGCAGTCGCATGGGGACCAAAGACCCGCACCACGGCATCGTAGTCCACGCCGGCTTCGTAGCCGCCCCGGCGCCATTTCTGGCGTCTTTTGTACAGGCCGATATACGCCCGGGCTGTGGCGAGTTCCTCAAAGGCATCGTCGGCGGCGGCGTCCCCGCGTTCGAGGAGTGCTTGGACCGTCAGTACGCAGTATGCGTAGACGGTGGATGACATTGGCGCTTTGGGGTTGATCGTCACGACGGCGAAAAGGGTTCAATCTCGCATTCCAC